CAATCTGAAGTTTAAAAAGATTGTAATCTGTATATGGTTATTATAAATTTTTAAATCATGAAGTATTTTAGTAATTTTATACATAGTTGTACTTTTGAGACATACTTCTATTATTTTATTATAGCCGTTAGAATCTACAAGTTATTTTAAATTTTAAGATCGGATTTAAATTAAAAAATTCATGTTTGGTAAATCAATAAATATCGTTGTAGTTATATAACGGTTAGAGAGAATTATCGTTACATGTAAAAGACTAAAAAAGAAAAACTTTCAAAAAATATACCGTAAAGTGCCATACGATAGATCCCCCTATGAGTTGTACCCGGGGTATTCTGCGGATAAGAATTCTATTTATATCCGCATGCTATTCATTATATATATAATAATAGCATCTTTAAACTTCGAAGAATATCTAGCTGGCGTAAAGCATGTGGCCAACTGATGTAGTACAAAAAATATGTGTAACAGGCGGCATGCCAATCTTTTTGGGCGTACGACACCCATACGTCTGCATCTATAATATAATCCTGTGACTGGTTCATAATCATTTCCGCACGTGAACGTTATGGGGTATCAACTGCATCATTTATATTAGCACAATTGAGTGAAAAATAATGGCTCAATAAATATTAATTAGTTTAATATCACTAATTGTCTGGAATGAAGCGACATATAATGGTTCTAATTTCCGAAAGTTCATATAGAGTATTTTTGTCCATAGTACAACGCACCAGTGTTACAAATTACACAGATAATATGTTCGCGAAGAATAAGTCGCAGTATTTAAATTAATGAAATAAACAGTAGGGTAGTTTGGTACTCTTGTAAAACAAATATAAATAAGCCATTGATATAAATAATGATGACTTTTGAACAAGTTTAATGCATAATTCATTCATGCTTGAAATTTAATATCTTCCAAAACGGGAATAATTTCTTCCCATAATTCAATGCCCTGTAATAAATATGGATTCTTTTTACAGTAAAAAGTAAAAAAATGTAGAATTATTAGCAAGATAAATTGATCAATTACCTGACGGTAAAACTCGACATGACTGTCAGCATATGCAAGTAAACAATCCTTCATTTCGATAGTCTTTGCGGTTTGAAATATCTCGTATTCTTTAGCAACTTCTAAGGAAAATTGATCGGAAACGTCATTGCTATTCTCAACTTCTTTTTTAAGCTAGACAATAAAGTCACAGTTAAATTAACTTTACTGACTTTATGAAAAATATAAAATAATTTGTAGCCACCTCAGCAATTTTTGCATCAAGTTTCTGCAAGCGCTCTTTTTTCACTTGCTCCTGATCCACACCTTTGATATTATCTACTGTTTCACGTAAGAAAGAGGATATACCGGTGGATGATTTGCCAGTATTGATAAGATTATCGCGTTCCATAAGAGCATTTTGCAAGTATTCCGAAAGATCTTCAAAATCAACTTGCTTTTGGTCTCGCAGCTTTAAAACATTCTGTGAATGAGAATGATTATTTAAATTGATAGCTAATACCTAAAAATAGAATAGAGATTTATCTAATCTCCTAATGCGCTTACCTTTACACAGTGACAATAGGATAGATAGTCACGGATTTGAGCTGAATATCCATTTTCTTCTCGATAGGTCTGAGGAAAAAAACAGATACCAGATTAACAAAATTTCAATTTTCCACTATTATACGTCTTGTAGCCATTAAAGAATGGCAAACCATCCGTTTCCATGCATCAGCAAATTTGGAAATCGTATCACCAAATTGTTCAAGGGGTGCAGTAATTCCAGTTTCTAATTGACCTAATCCAGCTATACTTGAACCGAAATCTCTATAATCGGCTTCCAAGTCTAAAAATTTGTAAAATAAGAACTCAATTCATTATCGTACTAAATAAAGTATTCGCAAAGATAATAATGACTAAGAGCAATTTACCAGTCTGCCTTTTGATAATTCTCTGATATAATCTATCAATCGTTTGCAGATTTTCTTCAAGCTTGTCAACACTTTCTTTAATTTCAACGAACTTTTCATCTGGTTTCTTAAGTTTAGAAAATGCATTGAGTAAAGCATCCCCCAAGTTTTCAAAAACTCCATCCCCTGGTTTCTTTTGCCTGTATAAAGCAGACTCTCTATTCTATTTACAGAACAGAATGATGATTCTTTTAGATTAATATAACATGCTATGAAAAAATCACATGATGCAAATTACCCATTCTCTTGATTCCAAAAATAGCCTGAAATATTCACTCTTTTGCAAAGTAGGATGGCGACTTAATCTTGCTAAAAACCTTTGGAGGCTATTGAATTAAATATATCCATTATAGATGAAGTGTACATATTCTCAAAAACTAAAGATTCAAAATAATAACTGATTTAACTTATACCTTGCTCGTCGTTTTTCTACGAACTCTGGTCCAAACCGATCTCCGGTTATATACTCTGCATATTTATAATAGATGTTAAAACACATTTAATTTAATACTATAGACAACTCATGACGAACGTTTAATATCCTTCTTACCCATTCGATGTCTATCAGGCAAAGGTGGCACTACACACGCGGCAAAGTCCCGTGAAAGTGAATTATGTAACCATACGAAATCCTGAAATCTTCTTCGAACGCTCACAGTAGGTGAAGAGAATGCATCTAAAGTTGTCTTAGTTAAAGAACAAAGATCTTAGCTAGTCTATCCTTTGTTATAAGGTTTTTTTTATCGTACCTTTGTCGTTATCAGATAAGAAATGAATGCATCCTTAGTTCCATCAAATTCTTTCAATGGTTCCGTGACAGTGATTATCATAGGAAATGCAGTAAATATCGCCGCATTGGATGCATTCGAATGTGATAGCTGGTCTGGATTCATGAGATTAGTTGAGAGTAGCGGTAGATACGGTGGCTCATATTGAAGCAAAAAAAGGTAATATCTTGTGATCCAGGCGCGAAAAATGCGATGATTATGATTGGTTTATACTATAAAATAAAGTGCAATCATATGAGCTAATCGGCGGAATTGGGCCTTAGTTAGAGACACCAAATTTTAATTTGAACCCATTTTAATTGGTCAAATATACAGAACAATTACTCGATTATGCCCTAATAATTTTAAACTATACCTTAAATAATTTTAAGGATATAACTAGCTATATATAGGGGATCGCTAAAGCCTTGTACCCACGTGATTTTGAAGTTCTTAATTATAATTAGGGTTGGGGTTAGTTTAAGGTTAGGGTTAGGGTAGTTCTATAGGTAAAATTGCCTTCCCGGCATTTTTTATTAGTGCACCAAGGCAGGTTTAGACTGCCATTTTTTGTATTTTTGCGTTTTTTGATTTTTTGGCTTCTTCGGGATGATCCGTGTAAACAAAATTTCATAATCTTGATTGGCTGATCTACATAGGAAACGTCACGTGGGTACAAGGCTTTAGCGGACCCCTATATATATAGTATTTTTTTTCTAGTACCCACGGGTACTGAAATATTTATTGTTCATCTGATTGGTTATTAATTCTCATAATAATATTTCTATATATATAGACTTAAATATATACTGTAGTGTACTGACTAAAGTATCCTCCTTTTTTATATCCTCTCTTGCAAAGTACTTGGTGCAAAACACAAGACCTATTAATTAATATAGGTTTTTTTAAAATTTTTAGACTGCTTATTATAAGTGCAGAATATATATGCTTGAAATTTTTTTTTTCGTGATACTGACCACTGCTATATAATATACCCGGGTCTTTTGATCAGTACACTATGGTACTTAATTTCTCATAATAATATTCTATATACATATATGTTGTGCCTCAGATTAATGCTTGCGTCAGATGTCAACTTTTTGGCCCGCATTACATTGATTGACTTAAATTAAGCCCAAATCCTTCCCAGATTCTTACCCTAACCCTAATCTAACTTAGGCCGGTTTTA